TAGATACTAGTTAGAAGCCTTCATCTTTTACCAATGAATTCAACTTATTTCTTAATTCCTTACCTCTTCAATGATTTTTGTTCAGATCATTTTGTCTTTACAGTGAATAATATGCAAGAGATTTCCAAAGAAACTTACCTATAATCGTTTTCTACTAGAGCAATGTTCATCAGGACAAGTTGTGTAATATCTATGTAATTGAAACTCAGTATATAACGTGAGAAAGAAACTGAAATATACACTGAACCATAAAATGCACAAACCTATCGGAAGTTCGTATGCAGAGTCAAAGCGAAACTACTTTGAATGATAAGCCAAACAGGAAATACGGACGTAATATGTACATAACTGATCGTACAGATTATCTCAAACGTTCAGTCAGATTGTCTAGATCCGCCTGTGATGCATTGAATGAGACCACTGAATCACAGACGCATTCTTTCACGGTGTCTGGAGTGTACTTCCGCGACCTGACCACTTACCACTCGCCCACAAATTCTTCCATCATCATGACACAGAGTGAATAATTACTCTTCTATCCAGATGATTCAACTTCATTGCAAAGCCTTATTGTCAAGACGAATTCCCAAACTAGGCCTCTTCCTCAAAGTAGACACAAACAGGAAGCCGGGATTGAAGCCCGTTCGGTCTAAGTATAGTCACAATGTGCGTACTAATGTCAAAACGCCACCAGTTGCATCCATAGAATAAACGAGATAGTAGTAGTGACTATTCTAAATCTACCTCTTTCACAGGGACGTCCGAAATTGTCATGTCTCGTCAAATGCGTTATCCACATGCTTACAGGTTTCCTGTTCATAAATACTTCTTGATTCATGTAGCTTCGGTTCCCTTCCGTAAATCATGTACCAACGGTTTGCGAAAATTGATTGGGTATGGCCTTTATCCTCAGTGGACAACGTAAAAATGCATCGAAAATCTGACACGTTCTGAACTAACCGAACATGCATTGTGTAGGCGTCTTAGAATAAAACTGTCTGTGGATTGATTCTTTTCATATGTATGTGGTATTGCTGAAAGTTGAGAATGATCTGCATGATAGATTGTTTACACTAATTGTCTGTTTTCTGTTCCGCGCATGAATGCTGGGGAGGGGTTTGTCCCCTGTGTACTGGAATTTGCGAACCGATGACAAAGATCACTCAGACCGAATCTTCTGTACACTGGAAAACTCATAATATGTGGATAACTATGCAGTGAAAAGTAGCTATGTGTACAGACAAATAAAAAGTGTGATCAAAGCATCTTATGGCAGGTGTCTAACGATTTCGGCAGACACAAAAGTCTCCGTTAATCTAATGTGATATCAAATCATATTTATATCCACTTAAGTTTAGTTCATTCTATTCAATGTTAGCGGCTACAAACATGTGCTGTCTAAAGTGTCCGTGTATCGAATTGCTGCTTGATCTCCGTAAATTGGTTTCACTAGGCTGATCAGCCTCATTACTCCAAACAAGAACACAACTATATAACTGGTCAGATTTGAAGAAATTTTGCAGAGCAAATTGGATGAATATCCGGTTGAACCAAGCGGTGAATACACCAGTCATTAAGATGCGTGAATTGAGAGATGTAGTCGAAATGTCTGACTTCACGCGGACGGCACCAATCGGGTTTGGCGTGAATATCGAATGTCAAAGGCTTGTGATCGGTTTGAACAACAAAATGTCGGCTTTCCGAAAGATGTCGAAAGTAACGGATCACCAGATAAATAGCCAACAGTTCACATCAAAAGGTACTGTACTTTATCTGCGCTGGTCGTAACTCTTGACAGAAAAAAGTTGAGGGTTACTTTTCGTCATTTATTGATTGTTCTAAGACTGCACCGAGGTCAGCATTTGATGCATCCATGGTGGGAAAGAGACGGACATTTGGACCGCAACTAATGAAGCATAGTTTAGTGGCGTGGCATAAGACTTCCTTTGCCGCTGAGAAAGCTACTTTGGCTTCGAATAGGAATTTAATGAACTTGTGTTTTGAGTCAACCATATCTGTCAGAGATGTTAAAATGTCCGCACAATGGGGAGTGAGACGCCGGTGAAATGCCGATGAATCGTCGGAGCTGGGTCATCGTAGTGGGAACTGGAGAAGTTGAGTTACACTCAACTTTATCTGGCAGAGGAATGATGTCGGCTTGACTGATACGATGTCCCAGGGAATCCAATGGGTTAACTCCGAAGGCACACTTGTCGACGTTAAATTTGATATCATCTTGCGTGAAACGGTGGAAAACGACACGTAGGTGAGACAAGTGTTCCTCTTTTGAGTGGCTAACGAGCAAGACATCATTGATGTAGACATATGCAGAAGGGAATCCACGTAGGACTTCTTCCATGAATCGTTGAAATATTTGAGCCCCGTCACGTAGCCCGAAGGGCATTCTTGTGAACTCGAAATGTCCGCTTCCGTAACATTTATGTGATAATAGGAGCGTATTTGGTCTTATTTATAGCAAATAGTAGCACCAGCGAGTCCTACAGAAAAATCGCGGATATGCAGAATAGAGTACCTGTCGGGGATTGTGCAGTTGCAGTGGGTATGGTAATCATCGCAAGGTCTCCAATCGCCCAGAGACTTTTTTGGCACCATCTGCAGTGGTGTCGTTTAAGAGCTGTTTAAAGGTCGAAATATGCTTAACTGAAGCATATGTTTGAATTCAACCCTGGCTATTTTAAATTTGTCTGGGTGTAAACGGCGTGGACGAGCGAGAACCGGAGAACCGCGTGTTGTAATATGATGTTCCACATTGTACCTAACCGTCTAGGTACGTGAGCATGGCCGAATTAATAATGGAAAATCTTTTACCAGTGATGTGAAAGACGGTGTTAGTGGAAGAGGAGGCCGGATGCCGACTGATGCGATCGTCGATTGGACGCCATTTACTGTGCAGGCGGTAATTTTGTCAATCAGCTGACCCCTCTTGACATCAACAGAAAGATTAAAATATGACGAGAAGTCGGCACCGATGAGTGGCGTCCGAACGTCAGTAGGCAGGAATATCCATCGAAAACATCGCCGGAGACAGAGGTGGACAGTGACTGAGTGTTTCCCAAAAGTTTTAATGCCACTTTGATCCGTGGCCTGCAAAGTGTACTGGCCAGACTGAAGTCGATCATTTGGCTGCAGTGGAATAGCGCTGAGCTTGGCTCCAGTATCGATGAGAAACCGCAAGCCGGTCGATTAATTCATGATATAAAATTAGCGACTAGTACCTGCTGGGCTAGCGACAGTTGTTGCCGTTACTGCCTGGCTTTCCGGTTTGACGATGATGCGTTAGAAGTTCGGAATGTGCACGGTTGGGGGCACTTCTTCACCTTGTGCCGAAAGTTTTGGTGGTACCAACACCACCTTTATGGATGGCGAGAGTTAGATTGTGCACAGCCTCTGGGCGGATGACTGTTCAGCTCATTGATTTGCATAGCCATACTGTCCATAAAGTGGTACATCTTCCCTATCAAAAGTTTTGGACTATTATCTGCTGTTGAGGCTGAAGGGGGCGAGGCGGGAACGGTTATGGTTGCGGCCCACAACGGTTGTGAAGGGAAAGTTTCCGTTACCTTGTCCGCAAAGGTTGTCAATTTTTCGATTGAGCTGTCCTCATCCATAGCAGCCAAGATGTGCCATACCGCAGATGACATCTTTTCCCACCAGAACTGCCTCATGATGGCATCATCAAACTTCCGTGAACCCAAGAGGCCTCTCATATGACGTAACAGTTGGGATGGGGACCGATCATCTAGCTCGACTGAATTGGACATGTCGTGCAGCAGTTTAGCATCTGACTTTCCAGTCTGTTTTATGATGGCGTCATTTAAAAGATTATAGCAGAAATCGAATGGGACTGATTCCAGCAGATCTTTCACTTCTGTGGCGAAATCGAAAGGAAGAGATTGCACCACATATGAAAATCTTATTTTCTCTGTTGTTAGTCGCCTGGTTGTAAAGAGGGCTTCAATCTGATGAAACCACAGTCAAGGATTTCAGGCGCTGTATTTGGGCAATTTCAAAGCAGTACTGTGTTCGGTTTTATTGTCGACGTCCGTACTATCGTCAAGCGTTGATACTAATACCAAAAGATGGATAAAGCACTGTTCACAAAAAAACAGACGGGCTCATCAATTTTGTAGTGGCCTAATCAGTCGAATGGTAAAAATGAGCAGAATATGGTAATACCAAAGGACAGGTGTGGCGGTAACGGATAGGCTCAAAAGATAAGCGTTCAAATAAAACGGAAGACGTATTGTAGCGACCTGGAGATTTAACTGGCCTGCCTACGGTATGATGTGTAAAATAGTTCCAAAACTCATAGTTACATATTGTGCCTAGGCTATTAAGAAAGTTCGCATGATGCATGTTGTACGATTGTTTGTCTGTATGCCATGTGACTACGGCGCGAACTCGAACGCACACGTGTGTCACAATACATCCGGTTCAATTGCTCGTCGACGGCCGGTCTCTAGCCTCTCTAGCTAACTTACGTGTCGGTGCCATTTCTAGCGCAATAAGAGACCATCTGTACATTTCGTGCAATAACTATTCGGTCTCTTCTCTCTACGGCCTTTTGTATTTCGCGTCTGGTTAATTCGTACCTGGGGGAAAACGACTTAGTGCGCCGTGCACTAAAGTATCAGTAAAATAGAAACGACTCACTGATAGGTCAAGGTTCGCCGGATTGAATAGACCACCACAAGAGAGAAAGACAGTGCCAGAGATGAAGTCCGGAACAAGACCGAAGGATAATTCCAATTCGTATCAGTGTGGTGGATTGGTAGACAGTTGGCGATCGTGTGAAATCCACTGTAACTGGAAAACTGGGTGGATTTGTGAATAGCTGACCGGTTGTGAATAGTTGGAAGCTTGTAGACAAATCTTTTGAGCTGAAATGTGTAACAACTCCTATATCTCAGAAGAGGAGATACACCAGCGTCGGGTGAAAGTGACGTGTATGTGAGAGTATTCTGGTCTGCAAAACCTGACGCCCCTGGGTGGGCTCGAACCACCAACCTTTCGGTTAACAGCCGAACGCGCTAACCGATTGCGCCACAAGGGCGAGTGATCTCTCCGAGAACCAGTGATGCCATTCGCACGTTTAATTAGACAACCGTTCACAAATTAAAGCGGTCTTTATAACAGTAGTCTACTGGATGACACTGAATAGATTACAAGGTAGTATTGCTCAAAATCCGCCGATAGCGCACAACCCGTTTCGTGGATGTCCACAGTCATCAGGTTTGCACACCCACTGAATCCAGACCACACATCATTCTACACGATTGACAGGGGCTGAAATCAGTATACGATAGTCTATTGCGAGCTTCTCGTTCTGCCTCTCGGACTTCAATCACCTAGGATATCGTCTGAGTTGAGCGCGCCAGTCAAACTCTTCGAAATGTTGGCCTGCTTATTTGGTAGGACAACTGACTCAACCCTCTCAGACAGTCATCCCGAACAAGAAGTGACCTACTTCGCCCTCAGCTCGCTGATCAGCTAAATCATTCCAAATGTCGCCTGATAGAATATTGCGCACCACCGGTTTTGTTGTTCACTAGCCACTTTGGAATGTGCTCTGAGACATGTGTACTGTAGTGGCCTAATCAACCAAATGATGAAAATGACCAAAAATATGGTGACACGAAAGAAGAGTTGTAACGGTGACGGTAGACAAAAAAAGCATGCGTGAAGGTAAAGCGGAAGACGTATCAATAAACTAAGAACGACTCACTGATAGGTCAAGGTCCGCTGAGTTGAATGGGCTACTACATGAGAGAAAGACAACGCCAGACAGCAGTTTCGGAAGACGACCGACAGATAATTTCACACGCGGCGTGGAATGATGAACGTTGAGCGTCGACAAATCAGCGGATACGCACAGCTAAAATATTTCACCGTGCAATTACTTCACCACTCCAAAAATCCACGCAAATGAAGAAAACAGAGACGGTGCGTGGTAACTCCCGTTTTTTGCTGAGTAACGTCTACAGATTTAAACACAGCAGCAACAAGTAGGGCACTGGCGGATTCTGGCACTTCATATTACCTCTTCAGTACCGAATAACGGATCCTAGTGTGAATCTGAAATGTCACAATAAATCGTTCAGTACTCAGTGTGTGCCCTCTTTCTAAGTACCTTACATATATTACATTTTACATGTATTACATATTGCATATATTGCTTTTGAATACAATATTGGCTTAAGGCGGCTAACCGCGGCCGTCTCATATCGTTTGGAGTAAACATGAGTCACAACCAAGTTGGCTGCCATGGCATTCTCAGCTTGTTTAATACACAGAGTTATTGTCTATTCTGTTGACAATTAATCACTGCTCTATTGTGATCTTACCAGAAGCATGCAGTTTTACCTCACAGGTCTGGGGGGCAACAGGTGGTGACCGTGACAAACTGGTGTTGAATGGTAAATCAAGAGAAAAACATCTCTTCCTGATGCCGCCTTCAATAAGAAGTTTGTTCACGATAACAACTAAATCATCCACATCAATACACCTATAACAGAAAACTTGGAACATACTGATTGACATGCAACATGCGGATCGAAAAGATAAACAAACTAATTCCCTGAAATACTGGGTTATCTTTAACAACTCCTTCAGTGCAGATAGAAGACACGTGTTGGGATATGTTAACATTTCGTTTACTCCCATCAGTCGCAAACCTAAAGTGATAGAGATAAACGGGGTACGGGCAAGAATACATTCACACCAAGTATTATATCACCAACACCACGGAAACTCGATGGGTTGCTTCAACCACTTTTGTGGACATAGCGCCTGCTGGTGAGCTCTGATCAATATTACTAAGCTAAAGGTCAGTAGCTTCGGGTTCTGGTTACGTAACAATATTGTGAGTAAGTTAACTGAGTCAGCTTGATGATTTGTTATCTAACAATCGATGATGCGCGATTACGAGCAGTGGTTTCACCGGCTGGAGATTGGTTTGTCATCATTTGTATTAACCATTTCGGGAAGTGTTCCGCTACTCGATGAGGTAGTAGTCGATCTGTTCTGTCTATGTAAATGTCATCGTAACTGCAAGTGAACTGGTAGATAACGTGAGAGATAGACTATTTAGGCAAATTACGTTCGCGATTTTGAAGAACTGATCTTTTGATGGTTTGAACTAAGCGTAATTGGGCAGCCGCATACGTGCTGGATAGTGCAGACTTTAATTTATGTTTGATTTCGTTTGACAAGTGATCCCCTTTGCAGTGCAGAAAAAGGAATATATCCTTCTTTCGAGACTTCTGAACTGGAGCATTGCACTTGTCTATCTTGCTGTTTTCGTGAATTTTCGGGATATTCTTTAGCCAGTAACGTCTTTCTTATCATGTTTTATTCTATCTGCAGCATATCAGTGGTGCAAACACTCCTGGCCTTATGAAATAGGGTCTTGACTAAACGATGCATTTATTCTATCGGGGTAAAGCAGGATAACTGGAGGTATTGCACGTTTTATATGCTCGACTGGTGAGAGTAAACGGTTTGTTCACATATCGCAACATGTCTTCTTTCAGCACTGATGAACTCAACTTCCGTGTTAACTACACAGAAAGCAACATCTGTCATTGGCCAAAATACATGAACTCAATAACCGGTGAATAACAATGACGATATGAAATCGTTTATTGGCTAATTGAAAGTGCTGGAGGGGCTGGCCGAATCAGTACTGTCTCAAGCAAGACACATGAAGAATGAGCTCTTCACAAAGATGAATCAGTAACCAAACCGAAAAGATGCTGAGTAGTCTGCTCAGTAAAAATGTACAAATTTCTTACACTCACTGTGCCTCGAATTGTTCGTATTGTTCTCTGGTATGTAATAAAACCACATCGTTCACGTAAAACTTCTTCGTTTTGGGAATTATGGAAAGGAATGTGTTTTGATGGAAAATTTTCGAACACTGTAGTTCAAAGCTTCCAGAGTGGACTATCTGACGGCTGAGTACACGGGTGAAATTTTAATGCCACTGACCTTTTGATCGTTTGCGGCGGATGATAATTTTTTAGCAGCCGAAATTTTTCGGTGATTTTACGCTTTCTTTCTGATACATTTTGGATGTGCTGCTCTGTTTGTACCAACCATTCCGCTCAAAATTCCTTCTCAGCGAAGTAGGTATAGGGATGCTGCTCTTAACCTCAGGGGATCGGAAAGTTTTCTTGCAAAGTTAAACCTTAAGTATCGGCTTCGCCAAAATTAATTCTGCTGAGCGAAACTCAAATGATGAATGCGTTATCATGATTTTTATGAACAAAATGAAATTTGAGTGTAAATTAGTTCCTCCGAAATTACAGTAAAATATTCGCTGGCCAAACAGCACCATCCTAAGCAGTAAAGTTTTGATCAACTTCAAAATATAAGAAGGATTTCTTGGAGTTGAACTGTCTATGGAGCGAACTAATGAAGGTGTGTTTGCGACAGTTAAAACAGTCACATTACTAATTTGATGGAAAACTCGTAAAAGTATACAACTACATGTATCTGTGTAAATCTGTCAACTATTCCGCTTCTTAAAGATCATTCAGACCACAGTCAAAGCAAGTCAGGTGAGACATTTTGACCTTGGGGGAAGTGGAAGTAGTGGAAGTAAAGACAGCTATCTCGAATCAATTTCAGTCTAGGCAAAAAATTGAAGAGAGAATATGAATATAGAGGAAAAACTGTGAGGAACAATTGTTTTCGGTAATTCGTCATTAGATTAACACAGTTATATAGATACAGCGAAAGAGTGTATAAACAAGACAAAGGGGTTTAGCAGAATGTCATTGGATCGTGTAGAGCGTTACAAGATATCTAAGCCTCTATAGGCTAACCACTCAGACAGCAAATCACCAGTGTTAATGATGAGTGGCTTGGAGTTCCACTCACAGAGTTATCTGTTATAGTTTTGATGGACACGCAGACTGACGGTGTGACTTTTGGCAACGGCAACTGCTAGACTTGCATCAGTTTTCGTATGAAGACAAAATGGGATTGCGTAATCGAACGACTACTAATCCAGCAGCAGCTAAAATCCTTTGTCTTATCAATTTGGGGTGGTTGACTGGGACTTTGTAGACAACAGTGAACGCCTGAGTGGGGTTGATCCGGTGCTGAGTATCTGCCAAATGTGCGACGATTGTACTGTTGATGGATTTGGTGGAGCCTGTCTCGAGCCACGCAGATCGAACTAAATTCAGTAAGTCCGGAAGGGGTCAACTAGAAATTCTATCGGAATGCGACAGCTGCGATCAACTGTAGGTGATGTTCAGTTTGAAATCTGACACCGAGAAAGACAAAATAATCCTGATTAAGGATCAAAGCGTAGACAGTCTCAAACGACTTTTGCAACAAAGAATAATTACAGGCTCTGAATTCGAAGGGCTTGAGCCGACGGGCTCTATCATTCTTCGTCTATATGGTCTCCCAAGATCTATAAATCAAATCATTCGTTGAGGCCAATTCTTTATATGTGAAATTCCCCTACCACTCAACAACAAATCGATTTTGTGTTCACGCAAAAATTCGTGCAAGCCCCACAGTTACCGTGGCCAAAGTTCACACCATCAGTCTGCATGCCCGTCCAAACTCTGACCGACAACAGTGTGACGTAATGGTGGGTGGAACTCCAAACCATTCACCATTAACACCAATGAGTTAACTGAGCTACACTGTTAGCTAGACAAATTGTTTCCGGTTTCGTTTATATAACACTAACTTAGGTCATTACGTACACAGACAGTATGTGACGTTGTTTTTATGTTGGTGTAAAACTGGAGCACTAAAACTAGGTTTTCAATATACGCCTCATAGATTGACCACTTAGGCAGATGGACTACACTTCATGAACAAAGCGAGTATAACAGACATTTTTCTGGGAAAAGCAAGCAGCAAATAAATCTGAGTACTATTTGAAACCTTAAATATCGAGTTAATAACGACATACCATCGGTGTATTTTATGCTAGCGAGGTAACTCCGCTGCTGTCCATCAACAAAAAGCTATCTAGTGATATTGCAGTTCATAGTCGTGTTGTTATAAACCAATTATGGCTCATAT